GTGTGTATATATATATATACACACACACACACTTGCTGGGGAAATATCAACTGGTTGTTTTCAAAGTACATTTCTAAATGAAACATAAAGCTCTATTCTAGGCCACTCACCTAAGCAACCAAACTAAATAGTTAGCTACCTATCAGATCTATCGAATATCTATGAACACATTTTTTTGTATAAATATTCTTAAATTTTAAAGAACCCGAAACCCTACAGGACTTTCAAATTTAATTATAATTATATATTCATTTCTTTGCAGACCTGAAAGACTTCTATTTAATCTTTGATGATTGCATGTATATCAGATAATTTGAAATGGTCTTTGGCAATAAATGACTTATGGATATGTCTCTGAATTTTCACCTCCAAATTTATCTTTGTTCCCATATTTTTTCTTACTTTTTTGGCATTCAAGGAGTATTTCTCAAGTTTACTCTGAGCATCACTGATGAATAATTCACATTGTCAGATTTGTTAGTTCTTTAATGTAAATTTTGTTTTAGTAACTTTTGTTTTGATTATTTTAATTTACTTTTTATAGATCACTTACTCTTTTCATTGGCGACACTAAGCATCTATTTAATGTTGTTTTTCTTTTTACCTGAAATAACACTATCTCAGGGGGAGATTTTCCTGTTTTTAACACTGAAGTATTTCTGCTTAACTTTTACAGAAACTTTAATGGATTCTCCATTGACTAGGTACTATTTTATCAATCTTTTTTTTAAGAGTTTTTTTTTTTTTCCCCTAGAGAACATGCACGAGAGAGAGAGAAAGAGAGAGAGAGGGAGAAGGAGAGGGAGAGGGAGAGGGAGAGAGAGAGAGATACATAGTGAAAGGGAATGTGAGAATTCCAGCAGCACACCCCCCCCCCCCCCCCCCCCGCCGCGGGAGAAGCCCGACCCCCGCCCCCCGGGATATGGACATGCTGCAATCCCTTCTCTTCCATTTTCCTCCTGAGATCTTGGTCATACATGCACTTACACTAGGTGTGATTTTCAAGTCACCAGGTCTGGAACTCAAACCATGGCTGGCCATGTGGGAGTCCAGTGACATAAACACTATACCATCTGCTGCTCCTTCTATTTTATCAGTTTTAAATAAAGAAAGACCTATCTTGTCCAAGGACTGGGAAGTGGTCAGATGATATGATTCTTTTTCTGTCCCTAAACATTTGCCCTTTGTGCTGTCATATTTCTAACTAAGGGCAGAGAATGATATAAAACATTTGTTCCTTTCTTTGGGTCAACAGCAACATTCATTAACGGCAAGTGTTTTCCTCAAGGTAAGGATTTTAATTATAAGACTCTAGTTTACAGAGACCCGCGGAAATCTGTGCTGAGGTTGGAAGTGGTGTAAGGCCCTCTAAATATGGAGCAGGACTGGCACCCTAATGTAGCTTTTAGGCGTAGTGTATCAGGAGCTGAATCCCACATGGACAACTACCGTTTGAATCCCAGCCCCAGAAGCTTGGGAAACAGAGAGACACATGATTGTCAGTGTCCAGAGTCCTGATAAAATGAAGAAACAGAGGAACTAGTATGACCATACTCCACAGTGGGGTGCTTTCTCCCTCTTTCTCTCTCTGGCAGGTATGATCTCCTTTGGCAATTACTGTTTTTTTAATGAAACAAAGTATGGAAAACAGAAATGGAGGAGAATGTCAAAAATATAATCCTAATATTTGCATTCTTCAGCCATTACAGAGCTGGGAAAAACGAAGCTTAAATGATAACTTTACTGATTTAATGAGAAAGAAAATTGAGTGATTACAATGTGCTAAATATGAGTTATGAGTATGTAGGAGTTTACCCTTCAGAAACTTACACTCTACCAAGCAACCCCAAGGGAGTAAGTCAGGAAGACTGGGTGTGCCTTCAAAGAGGAGAGACTGTCATTTCAGTACCAACATTTTATCTGCTTAGGAAAGTTTCTGGTAAAATTTCTATTGCATCTTAAATACTTAACAAAGTCAATAAGTGACTTGAAGATCGTCATCATGGAAAAAGATTTATGAATGTAATGCTAAAAAATATTTATATATTCATAGTATATCATACAATATGATTAAAGATATATACAGATGTTCCTCTACATTCAAAAGCATACATCCCAAGAAAACTGTTGTAAATCTAAAATATTTTAAATGGAAATGCATTTAATAGAGCAATAAATCCATCATAAAGTTAAAAAAAAACCCTAAATTGAACCATCAAAAGTCGGGGACCATCTGCATAAAATGTAGTAGCAAAAAAAATAAGACCATTTCACAGTAGCTCTTAAACAAATATTTGAAACCCAATGTTTAAACTCAGATATTTGTTTTAGAAAGTGAAAGGAAATGATTGATTGAAGAATATTGGGAAATAGAGAAAATGGTTGGTATTCTATTAGTCATAAGAGTGGAAAAACAAGTCATTTCCTCCGAATGCAGAACAGGGGAAGAAGTTAAGAATAATAAACATAGGCTTGGAATTTATAATCTTACATTTTTCATCAGGAGGCATTACATTTAAAATAGAAACCTTATTTAGCTATGTTAAATTAAATTAAATTCAGCCTCAAGTTGCCCCCATTATTTGAATTCCTATATAGCACATCACAACCTACCTTGGTATGGAAAGTCACTGCAACCTAACTTAACAGAACAGCCATAACTCATATTACCATGCTTTGCTTTATTGTGTTTCACAGATATTTTTTAGCTTCATACAGGGAAGGTTTATAGCACCCATGTATTGAGCAAGTATATCACACAGCATTTTTCTAACAGCACACATGTGCTCACTTTATGTCCCTGTGTCACACGTTGGTAATTCTCACAATATTTCAAACTTTTTCATTATTAGTAAGTATATCTATTAAGGTGATCTGTGATTAGTAATTTCTGAGGTCACTCTTATAAACATGTGGGGGCATCATGAACTGTGTCTATCTAAGATGAGTAAACTTAATCAATAAGCATAGCATGCGTCCTAACTGTCCATCAGCCAGCCATTTCTGTATCTCTCTTCTTCTCCTTGGGTCCTCCTATTCCCTGAGACAGAGCAATATTGAAGTTAAGTCAATAACTCTGCAGTGGTCCTTATCTGTTCAAGGTGAAGGAACACATCTCTCACTCTAAATAAAAAACTATTAAATATTAAGCTTAATGAGGAAGGCCAAACAGTCAGGTTATGAATGCAAAGGAAAAGATTTTGAAGAAATTAGAAGCCTTACTCCGGTGAACATATGAATAATAAGAAAGTGAAACAGCCTTATTGCTTATATGGAGAAAGTATTCGTGGTATAGATAAAAAAAATCAAACCAGAGACCAGCAAATGGCATGATGGTTACATCACTGGACTCCCCCATGGCAGACTGCAATTCAAGTCCCAGACCCAGCAGCCTGAAACCCATGCTGGGCGCATGTGTGTGCATTACCAAAATCCCAGGAAGAGAATGGAGGGGAAGGGATTAGAGTGTGGCCACCCACCCTGCGGAGGTAGGTGATTCTTGCATTCTGTCTCTCTCTCTTTCTCTGGTGAGTGCATGTGTTCTATAGTAAAAATCTCTATTAAAAAAGAAAAAAAGAAGAAAAAGAAAATCAAACCAACTACAATGTTCTCTAAACTAAAACCTTATCCAGAACAAAGCACTAATTCTCTTCAATTCTATAAAGACTGAGAGAGATGATGAAGTTGCAGGAGAATTTGAAACTGGCGGAATTTAGTTCATGAGGTTTAAGGAAAGAAGCCAGTTCCCTAATATAAAAGTACAAGGCAAGACAAACGCTAATGTAAACTTGTAGCAAGTTATCTAGAACGTCTAGCTAAAATCTTGATGATGGTGGCTACACTAACCAATAAATGTTCAATGTGGGCAACATAATTTTATACTAAACTTTCAGAATTAGAAGTCATGGCTTGGTTTCAAAGGGAAGGCTGACTCTCTCATTAGGGGCTTATATAGCTAGTGCTTTTAAGTTGAAACTAATGCTTATTTACCATTTCAAAAATATGAGACCCTTAAAAATGATGCCAAATTCTCTTCATCTGTGTTTTATAAATGGTACAACAAAGACTGGATGGACAGCACACATGTTTACGGCATGGTTTAGTAAATACCTTTTTAAAAGTTTATTTCTTTTGCAAGAAAGGGTGAACATTACAATGTCCCCAAATAGGGTCCCAAAGCTGCCATCAAACTCCAGCTTCTTCACACCCATATATATGGGTACATACAAGACCAGTGTTCTCAGGAAGGTCTCAGGACATGAACTGATGACCTTCCCCTGCAGCTCTACCTTGCAGACCATCACGTGTCACCACTTTGTCACAGACCTAACTCAGTTTACTGAATATTTTAAGCCCACTGTTGAGATCTATGGCCCAGGAAAAAAAATATATCCTTTCAAAATATTACTGATTTCTCACTTTCTCTCTCTCTGTCTCTCTCTGCCTTTCTGGCAAACACATGTGCCCTATAGCACAAACCTCTCCAAAAACAAAAAAGATAAAAAAAAATTAAAAAAAAAAAAAGGCATATTGAACAAGAGCAGGGCCAGCTGTTGGACAGCTTCCAGGGTGTCATTCACACTGCAGTTGAAATAAATGGTCTCTTCAGGTGTGTGCAGTATAAGCAATAACAGACCTGTGTGGTGGGCCCTGGTGACAGGAGCCAGGACAGAGAGATGGATAAGATCACATCTGTTTTCCACATTATTAAGAGAATACAGAGTATTTAAGGCAGTGTAATGTACTGAGGTTTGGACAGAGTGCAGTGGGAATACAGATCCAGAGAAACACGTTATGTCTACATAAGATGCCAATATTTTAAGTTGTTAAAAATTACTTAAGCACCAAAATTTATCATGACCATATTGTGTCTAACTTCTTTTAATTTTTGTAATCCAAAATGTCCTCAAAAACTAAAGCTGCTAGATTTGTTCTTTAAAATTAATTATTCTATTAGATTTGTTTTTCTTGAAATTTGATGTAAAATTTTCAATACTCACATCAAGATCATCCTTTGCATTGTAGTAGACAACTTCATTGCTCTAAAAAATAAAGAAGAAAGAGTGCTTTATTTATTACAGTAAAAAAATAAAAATGCAGATCAAACACTGAATGTATTTATGTGTATTTTAAATAATAAGTCTTTCATAATATATTCCACAAAAATACACAAAGAGCAGTCAAATTTCCTAAGAACATATTAAAACAGTGTATGAGAAAAGAACATAATAGAAAAGCATAGTTTTTGTACTGGGGAAAAATATCTCATTATAAATCTGAGAATCATTTCCACAAAAAAAAGTGAAAAAGTTGTAAGTCAAATAAGTCATGAATACACACAGATAAACACACACCACAGACATGTACACACTTATATATTAAATAATAAATAGGATGATTCAAGAAACATATAAAATGCCTTGTTAACACAGTGTTGAAATCATTATTGTAAATAATGTGTATAATTACATTTAATATTTCAATTTTCTTGAAGAAACATGAATCTATGGAATAGAGGAAGACATTTCCTCAGATATATAATATTCAGATACAAGATCAAGAACAACTGAATTCAGACAAAAAAAATCAGATTCTATAATACACTAGCATTCTCTCTAACATTCTAGCAAACTGGAAAATGAGCATTGGCTCTTTAACAAGAATAAATATAACTGGACAACTCTTCCAGCTATTAATACTGCTGAAATTAAGTCATAAATATAATTTAAGCCTTCAAATTGTGTTTCAGAGGAAAATTGAAAAGAAAGGATAAATAAATGCCTGTCAAGGGATTTAAAATTTCTATTCTTTGTGTCTCTGAGGCTAGTTCTATACTGTGTAAAAATTATCCACTTATGATTTCCCTTACCTTTCTTCTCTGAATGGATTAGAAATATGATAGTCCACTGTGGAGAACAATTTGGAGATTCCTCAAAAATCTACAAATAGAACTACCATATGATCCAGCAATCCCACTCCTTGGTATCTACCCAAAGGACAGAAGAATACTTAATCGGAAAAGTGCTTGCACATCGATGTTTCTTCCGGCACTTCTCACGATTGCTAAATCATGGAAACAACCCAAATGCCCACGAACTGATGAATGGTTAGAAAAACTGTGGCACATATACTCAATGAAATACTATTCATCCATAAAAAACAACAAAACCCTTGTTTTTGTCAGGAAGTGAATGAATATGGAAGACTTACTGCTAAGTGAAGCAAGCCATGCTATGAAGGAGAGGCATTGTATATCCCCACTTAATATATGCCAAGTGGCTGCACTCTATGACTGAAACTAATTGTCTAAAGGATATAGAAACACAGTATATAGATGTAAATACCAGATATAGTGTGTGTGAAAGAGGAGGGTCTGAGGAAGGACATTTGGGGGAGGGACAGGGAGGCAAAGCATTAATGGCACAAAGAGGTGTGGTATTATCTGTTGAAGATATTTCGTAGTTTTAACAACAATACTAGGGAGAAATGTTCACCTGTTGAAATATCCATTTTGTAAGACAAATAATAATGTGATTGAATGTATGGAAGAAAATGAAATAAAAAAAAATAAGAAAAAAGAACTATAAAAAACAGGGGAAAAAAAAGAAATATAGTAGTCCACCTTTTGTATGTCTTTAGTTGCAAAATTAAACATTATGTCCAATGCATTTTACTTTGACTCAAACATTCATAAATGTAAGTATGCTAAAACTGTGATAAGAGCAAGCACATAATACACAATTTTTAAAAAATGGCTTGAAAATCTCCCTAAATTAGTATTTCTTAAAATATATTTTAAAACTCCAGGGCTGACCTAGCAGGACAGTGGTTAAGTGCTGTGCAAAGGAAGGCAGTTCCCACATGGCTCAGATCCCAGCCCACGTAATAGCAACATGCTAGGCTTACGCACACATGTGCCCAGGATCCTGGTGAGATGGAGAATTGGAGGAAGGAGCAATACAGAGTGAGCAGGCTCCACTGAGGAGCACTTTCTCACTCTCTTTCTCTCTCATATACGTACATGCACCCTATGGCAATATTACCCAAAAAAATCGCAGTTCAAGGTATTAACAGATGTCATATAGGCAAAAACATTCCATGGTCATATAACTTTAGAAACAATACAAAAGTTACTATTTCTTTTTGTAATGACTCCATAGAGCCTCAATGTAGGATTGTATGGTGTAAATCTCCAAGAGAAAAATCTGTCTTGTTTGGTTTCTCAATTTATTTGCCATAGAAATCTGCAACCTTTTTTGTTTGTTTGAGAAACTTACTATAAGAACAAAGATCCATACAATATTGATCTCTATGAAAACCAGATGAACCCAAACTACATAAATATCAAAACATATGATTCACAATTTTGAATGAAACCCATCAGTTTAATTCACTTAGAATAGAACTTTCTTTTTTAGAGGTATTTGCCATAGGGTGCATGCACTTGCCAGAAAAAGAGAGACAGACAGACAGTGAGAGAGAAAGTGGTGGCCACAACACAATCCCTTCTCTCCGATTTTCCTCCTGGGATCTCGGGCATGCACACATAATTTTCAAACCAGGTTCAGGACTCAAACCACAGTTGGCCTAGTGGGAATCCAGCGATGTGACCTCTACACCCCATATGCTGGCCCCTAGAATAGAACTTTAAAAAAAAATCATCCAAGACCCAGCTGCAATGACAGGTGTACTGGAGCCACATGGAAGACCACAGTTCGGATCCCCAGGTTGATCTAAAACCTGCCAGGTATGTGTGGGCACAAGGGTAATCTCAGCAGGATAGGGAGCTGGGGGACAGTGATCTTGGCATGATAAAACCCTGTCCAGGATGCCCACCCTCCACCAAAAGATAAAGAGATGGACTTTTTAAAAAAAATTGTTATTCAATTGATTTTGAAAAATTAAATAGCCAAAGATTTCAGCATGCGTAAAAATTCTAATTCCAGCAACATTCCTTATAAGATTAATTTTGTAACAGAGTTCAAATAAAAAATCAGGACTCATCAGATATACAAAAGCAAGAGTATCTTCTGATTTCACCGGAAACTCAAAGGTAATTACTAGTATATTGATCTCACTTACAACTCTGTGATTTATACTTAGGAGACAGTTTTCCATTTAGAATGTAGAGTCCAACAAAATTTAAAAGACTAGAGAAGTTTGTCTTCATTTTAGAATTTATTTTCTGCCATTTGCTTGCTTATGTTTACAGAATTGAAACATGAAGAAAACAAGGTGAAATTGCATTAAATATCAAGCAATTTAGCATCATTTTCAACACATATCCATTAAATATCTATGAACTTACAATACTGTTCCAAGAAAAGCACAAAATGAACATATCTACTCTTACTCTTTAGGAAAAATAATGCATGCAGATCAATGATATAAAACAACCCATGTGGGCAGGATGATGCCTGGTCCATGGTACTACAGGAATGGACTTAGGAATGTGTGACCATGTGGCACACATAATAAACTTAGGAATTTATTAAAGCTAAGATGAAGGTAACTCACATAGTTTCTGAAGATTAAGAAATACTACTATTAACTCTAAATATTTTGAGTCTGCTCATAAACTGTTCATGGATTTAAAAGGAGTAAAAATAAAGAAAATCTGTTTATTTGAGAATTTCCAACTGTTTTTGTTACCTTTTTACTGCACTATATATGTATGTATATATTTTTAAAAGATTTTTGTTACAGGACATGTGCAATTGCCAGAGAGACAGAGAAAGACAGAGAGGCAGAAAGCAAGAAATCACCCCCTGGAGGGGATGGCCATGACACAATCCATTCTCCTCTTGGGGTTATGGGCACATACATCTGGCATGAGTTTCAAGCTGCTGAGTCCAGAACTTGATCCACGGTTGCCCAAATGTGAGTTGAGTTATGCAACCATTATACCATCTGGTGAACCTACTGCAGTATATTTTATTTAAAACCTTGTTACTTTGCTCTCTTTTCAGAAAAATTGTATATAGCTTCTAAAATTATTATGGGGTCTGAACACATCATTCTTGTATATTCGACTGTTTACATTTTATGCAATTACAGAAGTTTTTTCTGTATTTGGTTGACATATAATTATAAAAACTGATTTTAATAAAAAAAGTTAGTCAGTAAATACAGGCATTGCATGTCAAAGATCCATATTCCTTCTTGTAATTGGAATTTGATATTTTTACTTTAAAAGACTTCTTTTTAAGTACAATGTTCATTTCTTACATGGTCAAAATATAAGTGCAAAAAAATGCAGTTTTCATATAAAACAATAATGCACTTAACAAATACGTATTACCTAGATAGTTAAAAGGGCAATGCAGACCTCAGTGACCTACGCAACTGATTCTTCTATTTAGTACCTTACAATTAAATTTCATTTCCTCCAATAAATGTAACATTATTTTTGGCTTAGAAGAATTTCTTTTATCTTATTTATTAAATATATCTTCTTCTCCCTAAACCCCAAATTTTCATTGATAACATACACATTTTTCATTCTCTTTTTGTATCTAAAAGAAAGGCCCAGTTGGTCAATTTTAGTGAGGATTGGAAACTGTGACTTTGCATTTACTCTGTCAACCAAATTCATCTCTCTGACAAAATGGCATTAACATAAGTACCAAATATTCATAGAGCATTTAACTCATATAACTGTATAAAAATATTTCCCATTCTCAGTTCATAATATTTCCTTACGGAAAATTGCAATGATTTGCTGGTGACTCGTTTAGACACTTTCAGAATTATTTGACTCAGAAATTATTTTACATGTGAAAAAAAAAATATGATGAAGCAATAATTCCCATTCATAGCACATTCATTTATTGCTGTCTTCTCTATGATACAAAAATATATAGGCTCAGCCATGATGGCCTGGGCCACCAAGATGCTGCTATTCAGAGGTTGTGGACACCCGGGGAAACCTGGGGTCAACTCCTTGTCCAACCTAAACAGGCCATGCCCAGTAGCATGTTCCTGTCATCCTAGCTAACTGGGAGGCCAAGATGGGAGGATTGAAACATGACCAGACAGATCC